TGGCTTGCTGGCTCATGTTTTGGAGCCGCTGGGTCAGGGGCCTGCCCTCCCCACCAGGGGCTTGTGCCCCATTCCTCCCTCACATCCTTCCACTTACCTCACCCTAACCCCCCTTCCTGATGTCAAACAAAAGACACGTGTGTTCAAAAATAGAAACTGCGTTTATTGAACCAAACTGGGGGGGATGAACCTCTGGGGAGACTGGGAAAAGGAGGTGGGGAAGGGGAGGGGGAAACCTGGGAGGAGGGAGCTGGAAGGAGGAAGCAAGGGGAAGAAGGGGGAGGAGAAGCTCAGGGCCCAGGGTTGGGGGTCTTGCCGGACCAACAGCTTCTGGGTTCGCATGTGGCCTTTGGTGGCCAGGCTGGCAGCTATCCTGCCATAGACAGCCATGTTCCTCTATCTAGTACGGAGATCGTGGGTTGGGGGCATCCCCCCAAACCTGAATAAGGTCCATGATCTCCACCCTGGACCAGGAAGCCACCCACCTTCTCGGCCACTGCTGGCTCTGGGCTGGCAGGCTTGGAGCTGGCACAGGCACTGTGGCCAGGGTCTACCCCTTTAATGTCTCTGAGTCTGGGGGAGAGGAAAGTAAGTTTTCCTGGTTGTGCTCAGAGTGGCCACCAGGGCTCCCTGGGAAGGGCTGAAGGCCCCCTATTTCGAATTAAGTGTCTACACAGCACTTAATTTGAAATAGGTATTTCGAATTTGGCGTTTCTCCTCATAGAATGAGGTTTACCAAATTCGAAATAAGGGCTCTGCTATTTTGAATTAAATTCGAAATAGCGGTTTGCATGTATAGATGCTATTAAAGTTAATTCGAAATAACGGCTGTTATTTCAAATTAACTTTGCAGTGTAGACATACCCTATCAAACTAAGCTGCTTGTGTTCATGGTAAAGGTCACTGCCCTCTCCCAACATGTATCTCCCCTTCGCTATTGTCTCCTGCCACCAATCAGCCCATGAGGCCAGCCTGAATCATCCACTTGATACATTTTCAAACAAGCATTTCTGTACTTTTTCTCAGGCTCCTCTTGACACTTGGGGGGTGCGGCCCTTAAACAGCGCAAAGGTGCTTCATCACCCTCAAATCCCTCCTCAAAACTCTCCTTTCCAATAATACCTACAAGAAACTTGACAGCACTTAGGTTGTTGGTGTGCAGAGGCCACTGCCCAGCATGCTGACCAATTGTTTCCTTGTTGTCTCTTGTGTACTTAGATTGTAAACTCTTAGAGGCAGAGACTGTCTTTATGATCTGTGTTTGTACCAAGTATGATGAAATCCTGGCACATGACTGGGGCTCCTACCCCCAAAATGACACTGTAAAAACTACTTAGCCCATTTTCTTTATTTTCTGGAGCAGCTTGCTTGGCATAGAAAAGTTTAGACCAGAGACAGTATTTGAGGCAAATCACATTTCAAACTCAACTTCAAGTCTGGTTGATTCTGGCGTTTTGGTTCAAGCCCTACTATAGTTTATGAGACATTATTTTCCAAAAGCCCTCTCGTGTTTTTGCAGAGTTTAGAAGAGGCGGGGGGGAGGAGGGAGAAAACTTTATGCTAAAATATTTGATTGTCTGAAAGACCCACAAAGCAGGTAATACATTAGTAACAATTTGAAACTGAATGAATGTACCAGTGCATCCAAGACATATACATGCACGCATGTATCTGAAAGGATAAAACAACAATAAAGGAGATCACAGCATAGGAGCCTAAAACTTGTCAAGCTACTAAGACTGAGGGCCAGGCAGACTCACAACCAAAACATATGAACAAAGATGGCAACGAGACTCAGAAAGATATTTTAAGGTCTCATCCGAAAGCCCCTCTTCCAGTTATCTACATAGTATTTGGTGTATGAATTTCAGAAGATTAAAGAACTGCGATCATTCTGCCGCAATTTGCAACTATGGCTTGAAAGGGGACAGTTATTTCAAACCAATGACAAGATCACTAATTCAGACAGTTGTGTGTATGTGTAAAAGAGGAATTTAACATATATAGCCTAGATGGTTGTGTGTTTTAGCATTGCATAGTC